CACCGCAGCCTTGACCTGCTGGGCTCCAACGATCCTTCTGCCTCAGCCTTCCAAGTAGCCATAACTACAGGCATGTGCTACCACGCCCAGATGATTTTTGGTTTATTGTAGAGACGAGGTCTCACCCAGTTGCCCGGGCTGTTCTCGAACCCCCGGGCTCAGGCAATCTACTTGCCTCAGCCTCCCAAAGTACTGGGATTACAGGCTGAGCCACCAAGCCTGGCCAGACAGTAGATCATAACTCCCATGATCACATGAGCTCTTTTCAACTGTTCTCATACACCATCTCTTTCTTATTCTACCCTGCTCTACTTACTTGATGCTGTTTACTTGCAGAAGAGTGAACAGAATTGAGCCAGTCTCTGGGAGGGAGAGATGGATAAGACAGAAACTAAAATTAACTAAGTTTTTAGATAAAGGAGGCATTTTGGAGGAGTGTGGAGGGAACACACATTCTATCAAAATAAAGGAAGTCCTGCAAAATGGTAGGGATCTTGATTTATAGAGGTCAAGTGAGTTAAAAAGACAGAATGATCTGATGGCAAGAGTGGAATTTAAAACAACAGAACATATAAAAGATAGAAGGGACACAAAAAAATCCCCTATTCTCCACAAGACTCAGAGAATAAGGGATGTTATGAAGTAGAAATAGAACTGGAATGCTGAGAGAAGGCTGCTAGAGTTGTTTTAAAAGTGGAGGGGTTGGTTGTAATCGGACAATGTGAGATAGGAGAGCAAGGCAGCTGTTAAGAGGGAGTAAAAAGATGAGTGTTCTGTAAAATCTCAATACTACAAGTATCAAGTGATGTATTAGAGCTTCCTTTACTAGGTTACACTCAGGAAACGTAACTTTCCTGTGTGCCATGTGATCATTCTCATTAATTTGTATTCACTTAGGTAAATCATTAGGCACCTATTTTTATGCTACACTATTGCTTTTTGAAAATTCTTCCTTTTACTAGCTACCCTGTCTCAAATTCCCACCCCACTTCTTACAGATTTTTGATCCCATAATCATGTGGGTTGCTGAGGGATGGGTCCCCTTCTCCCCTCCCATCAGGAGCCTAGAGCTGTCAATCTTCAGAGCTGGGGGTGGGGTGTCTCCAGGCTTCACCTTCTGTAGCATATCAGTTGTTGTGAAGGTATAGCAGGTTTACTGTAAAGAGCAAAAGTGTGGTTTCTTTCGCCTGTGCCAGCTCTGGCATGTCACTCTTTCTTTTCTCCCTCCTTTCTCTAATAAACTTTGTTTGAAAACTTAAAAAAAACAATTCTTCAGTGTTGAATGCATTATATATATGCTTGAAATGGAAGTAAGAGTAAAAGTTAATTGCTTTGTGGAGGTAGCAGGCAAGGTAACTGGTGCCAAAGTAAAATGGAGTGCTTATGCATTCCAATATAGAGGGACACATGTAAATTTGTTCTCAGACTTAGTTCCCGTAAAAGTCTTTCTCTCTCCATGAACTATATGCCTTCTGTCATTGGCCTATGAGGAAACTGTGACTATGCACTTTTCTACTTTTGTCTCGTTTGTCAGAAAACTCAGAGATAACGTCTGCATTTAATTGTAGTAATTTACACATTCTAGATGTCTAGAATCAATAGGATTCTTATTCTGCTTTTTGTCCTTAGATTTTCTAAAATTTCAAATCAACTTGCTTTACATTTGTGGTTCATAATATTAATCTACCTCAAATCCTTTGTAGTAATGGGAATGTTATAAATCTTAAATATGGCTGGGCTTGATGGCTCAGCCTGTAATCCCAGTACTTTGGGAGGCCAAGGCAAGTAGATTGCCTAAGCTCATGGGTTTGAGACCAGCCCAGGCAACTTGGCGAGACCTCATCTCTGCAATAAATAAACAAAAAAAATTAGCCAGGGCCGAGACTCTGTCTCTCAAAAAAGAAAAGCTCATATATAGGCATATATGAAAATATACAAAAATTTAACATGAACATTGTGGATTGATTTATTTAGAACTTGAAATACGTTTTCTAGGATTTTATTTGACTAAAAGTGTAATTTTGGAAGTATAACTGTTGTGCTTTAAAAACCAAAGTAATACTTTTATCTTTGCGCAATTAAGAAAAACAAATTGTGTTTTTGGTCGTGGATCAGACACCTACAAATGTTTGTATCATATTTTTTATGTTCACAAATATAGTTCTAAATATTACATGACACAACAATGCCGTTAGCGTGTTACTGGTTTTTCTCTCTCCGTTCAAGAAATTGATCACCCATGAGAAGTTTGAAAGTGCATGTGAAGAACTAAACAATGCATTACTTCGGGAACAGCAGGCACAAATGCTATTGAATGAACAGGCACAACAACTCCAGGAGTTGAATTATAGACTTGAGTTGCACTCCAGTGAGGAAGCGGACAAAAACCAAACTCTCGGAGAAGCTGTTAAGGTAGGAGACCATCCCTTGCATAACGCCCGATTTCCTCTCGATGTGGGTCCCAGAAGGAATCACGATGCCTCCTGAACAGGGAATAGAACCCAGGGTGTCAAACTTTATTCCGCAAGAGCTTGTGAGGATGGAATGGAACATGGTTCTGAGGCCTCACTTACAGGCATGCACTCACAGGTGTTGAAAACGTAAAAGTAGCATTTACTTGCTAGTTGAAAGCAAAGTGAAGATCTTTTCCAGTAACAATTTTCTTTTTTGTGTCTTTTGTTCCTTGTTTCTTTTATCGTCCTCTCTTTAGTTCTTTTTCTTTTCTTGTTTTGTGCCCTCTGGACTTTGAGAATGCCACATGTCTTTTGGATTCTGGAAGGTGTTGGTCTGGGTCTCTTGGATTCTTTTTTAAGTACATATTTGGAGCCGAGGGAGGTTTAGTTAGAAAGAGTTGTTCCCCCTGTCATATATTTGTGGCAAAGGTATTTGGGAGGGAAAGAAGTTATAATTTAAGAGATGTCATTTAGATGGGTACAAACTGGATCTAGGGCTATAGTATTTTATGGAAATATTGGCTACGAAGTATAATAGAATTCTAGTTTTTGATTATAATACTTGTAGATTTTTCACTAGTGAGATTGTGTGTGCTGGAATGGAGCTAAATCTAGGGAAACAAAAATGATACAGCCTCTATGTAGGATAACATAATACAGTTACTCAACTCAGAGTTAGTATACACTTATTATAGAGATACATATTTACTCTGATAACTAAATAATACTATTACCCTAACAATAAAATAGCCGAAAATTTCTGACTTGCAAGTGTTAAAATTGAGATTTAGTGTTTAGAAAAATTTGAAAATATTAAAATTCAAAAGAAGAAAATGCAAATGGACTTAAAGTGGAAAATATAGATGCCCTTAAAGAAGAAGAAAAAACTGCCAGGGTACTCTTAATATTTTGGAGTGTGTAGTTCCAGACATATGTATTAAATTGAACCATTTGAAATTGCTGTTTTTATAAGTGAGAAATAGACAAATGCCAGCAACTTCAAATGGGTCAACCTAATGCCTATTATTATTTTTTTTTTACATAAATGAGAACATACTTATATACTGTTTTGTAACTTATTTGTGTCACTTAGTGATAGACTGTGAGCATTCTTACTTACCAACTGATATGATCTTATGATATACTTATTTTTCTTTTTTTACTTTTAAAAAACACAAGTAATAGATATTCATTGTGGAAAAATAAGAAAATACAGATGAAGAAAAATGAAAAGTAAAATAATCCCAAATTATATCATCAGATATATCTACCATTAAAAATTTGATATACGTTATTCCAGACTTTGTATTTTGCAAATGTAGGTATTTAACTAAATGCAAATTGATAAAAATACAGTCATACTAATAAGGATATTGTTTTTTACTTTCTTTAGACGCCATGTCAAGGATTTCTTTCTATGCTGATAAATACAGTGGTGTCATAATTTAATGCCTGATTAAATTCTTTTGAATGTACATTTAAAACTTTTCCTTTTTAGTTGACAAATAATAATTGTGTATATTTATAGGTACATTGTTATGTTTTGATACATGTATACATTGTGGAATGATCAAAGCAGGCTAATTAACATAAACATCTGTCACTTCACAAACTTACCATTTCTTTGTAGTGAGAGCATCTAAGATGCATTCTTTTAGTGATTTTGAAATATATATTATTATTAGCTATAGTTACCTTGCTGTACAGTAGAGCACCAGAATGCGTTCCTTCTGTCTAGCTGACACTTTGTACCCTCTGACCAACATATCCAGCCTCTGGTAATTACCCAAATGTACTGCACATAATTTATTAACCCAATTTAATATTGTAGATTTAGATTCATTCCGGTTTCTTCTTTTCCTTCCTTTACCTCTTCTTCCCCACCCCCTCTTCTGCTGCTTCTACTGCTTCTCATTCTTCTGCTTTTGCTAGTATATGTTTTGTAAGATGAACACTCCTGTAGCTAAATCTTTATGCACATATCTGTTATTATTACATCAGGATAAATTCCTAAATGAGGAATTACTAGGTCAAAAACCAAATATGATTTAAAGTGTATATATATTATCAATTGCCCTAAAGCAAAATTTCACCAATTGCATTCTCTCCTAAGATGTATGAGACTTGCACTTTTGACCCAACTTGGCCATTACTCTTTAAAAAAAAGGTTCGAGGCTGGGTGCTGTTGCTCACGCCTGTAATCCCAGCACTTTGGGAGGCCGAGGTGGGAGGGTTGCTTGAGCTCAAGAGTTTGAGACCAGCCTGGGCAACATTGTAAGACCTTGTCTCTACAAAATATCAAAAAAATTAACTGGGCATGGTAGTGTGTGCCTATAGTCCCGGCTGCTAGGAAGGCTGAGGAGGAAGGATCAGGAGGATCACCTGAGCCCAGGAGGTTGAGCTGCAGTGAGCCATGATCTGTGCCACTGCACTCAGCCTGGGCGACAGAGGGAGACCCCTACTTTAAAAAGAAGAAAAAGATTTTCCAATTTGATAAATATATCATTGCTATTTTAATTTGTATTTCTCTGATTATTAGTGAAATTGAACATTTTATAAGTGTTTTGGTCCTTAAACAATATTTTTACGCTTCGTATCCTATTAGTAGATAAAGTAGTAAACTGTGCTTTGGAAAAGCACCTTTGACGTATACCTGTATCATATGGAGTCTTTTTTTTCTGTAATAGTTTGTAGTTTGTGTTTAGGTATAGTATTTTCCAGCAGATGAAGAGCTGTTCATGTTAATTTCTTTAAAGTGCCGGTAGCTTAAATATTGTTGTCAGGAGTGGAGAATTGTTTAATTACTATCTCTTAATTAGAATTAGCAGGTGGTAATGTGGAAATGCTCTCTTGTGGGAGGCAACGTGGTTCAGAGGAAAAAGCACTAGCCTTGGAACAAGGATTCCCGAATTCAACTCCAGTTAGGTTACTTGGCCACATTATTTAACTTTTCTGAGCCTCAGTTTTCTCTCTAGCATAAATAGGGATAATAGTACTTAAGTTTCAGCGTTATTATGAGAATGAATTAAGATACTATTTGAAAAGTAAGTGTATGCTTGATAAATATTCTTTTGTATTTTCGGTAATACTTTAAAAAATAATTCTTTTTTTTTTTTTTTACCATTTTCTGTGCATAACTTCTTTTTAAAAGCAAAGTATATTATCTCTTCTTCTTTATAACAACAAAATAAGATCTTGAATAGGAGATGGAAAATACAGAAGAAAAAATGTATTCATGATTTATCATCTGAAATCAACCATTGTTAACATTTTGGGAGTTTTGTTTTTAGTTATTTTTAATATAATAGCTTTTATAAATCATACTTTGTACAGAATGACCGTTCATTATAATGCAGTTCAATCTTGGATAAGGTGCTTCCTGTAATAACAGCTGTGCATTAAGAAGTAAAGGAAATCTCCAAGGACAAAAACATAGAAACAACAACATTGACAAACTCCAGTGTGTGGAAATCAAAGTGCCATGAAGAGATGCTGGGTTTGCCCTGGAGGCAGCGAAAGTTGAACATCCCTAATCTGAAAATCCAAAGTACAAAATCTAAGATGTTTCAAAATCTGAAGCTTTTTGAGTGCTCATATGATGCTCAAAGGAAATGTTCACTGGAACATTTTGGATTTAGGATACTTAACCAGTTTAAAAACAAAACAAAACATATATATATATAATGTAAATATTCCAAAATCTGAAAAACTTCAAAATCTAAAACACTTCTGGTCCCAAGAATTTTGAATAAGGAATACTCAACCTATACCAATAATAATGCTGGAAGCAGGAGAATAAGTTCTGGGCTTTACCAGCAGATAGAAGCTTGAACCTAAAACTGTCACTTAAGGAATTGCCTAATAACCTCAAAAGTATAATCCCAGGTCAGTAGTGTTTCATTGCTTTAGGCAAAAGCTAATGCAGAATTCTCTCTGGAAGGAAGCTTGCCTAATTTAGTTTTTACCAAAGCCCCTGAAGAGTAAGATCAACCAAGTAACTGACACATGAGTAGAAAGATATATTCATCTCATATGCAGCCACACTGCTGACTTTTCTTGTCAATTCTAATACTTTATCTGACCTTTATAAGCTTTTCTGCATAGACAATCATATTATTTGTTCTATAACAATAGTTTTGTTTTTCCTTTCCAAACCCTATGCCTTTAGTGTTTCCCCCCGCACCTTACTGTTAACTGGGATACAGTGTTGAGTAGAAGTGGAGATGGTAGGCATCCTTATTTTGTTTCCAGTCTTAAAGAGACCCTTTCTTAGCTTTCTCTATTAAGAAGAAAGCTTGCTATAGTTTTTTAGTTGATAAACCTTATCAGGTTTTAAGGGAGTTATCTTCCTAGATTATGCAAAATTTAAAAGATCTTGAATGGATTTAGGATTTATCAAATATATTTTAATGCATTTATTAACATAATAATATGATTTTTCTCACTTATTCTGTTAACATGTTGAATTTTATCAGGTATTGGCAAAATATGACATGCATTTGTGTGGCCTTTAGGCTAGGAGTAGTTTTTGCATTTTTAAAGGATTGTAAAAAAACGAACAAAAAGATGAAACCAAAGAAGAACATGTGATACAGATTTTATGTGGCAAAAAAGCCTAAAGTTTTTCCTATCTAAAGTTTACTGATCCCTGGGTTATATTTTTTAGTAGTTTAATGTTGAACCAGCCTTGCATTCCGGAAATAAACCTGGTAGAGTTTTGATTATTTAAAAAAAATGCTGGAGCACTCAGTTTTTAAATTTTTCATTTAGAACTTTTAGATCTCTAATCTTAATTGAGATTATCTTGTCATTTATATCATACTATCCTTGTCATTTTTTGGAATCAAGATTTTGCTAGCATGAAAGGACTTTCCTTCCCATTCCAAACACATGAAGTGTTATCTTGGTGCATTTTGGGCTGTTATAAACAGAATACCACAGACTGAGTAACTAATAAAC